AAATGTAGCACAGGAAAGCGAGTAGCTGCAAATATGCAACGTTAAGAAATATGAGTGACAGAGCGAGAAGTCCTAATGACAGTCGATTAACATTCTGTAATGAGAAAATAAGTAGAACAAGGGAGAGGCACAGATTTTTCTAAACTTATTACAAAACACAAAACCATAGATTTAGAAAAGCACACAACACATTCTAATAGGAAAAATTTTTTAAGTATGTCCTTATACACACTGAATATACTTGAGCGCCACTGAGAGACAGAGACAGAGAGAGAGAGACAGAGAGAGTCAGAGAGGACAGAAGACCTTAAAAGACAACAGAGAGAAAGTTATATGACCTAAAATGTATGAAGACAGCAAATTTCTCAAAATAGCAACAATGCAAAGCAGAAGTTCAAGGAAAACTATCTTTAGAGTGCAGAGAGACAATACTGCCAATGTAGAACTACATCCTAGCAAAACTAACTTTAAAAATGACTAAGAAACCAAGACATTTGTCAAATTGAAAATAAAAATTCCAAAACAAAAACCAAAAGCTGAGAGCATTCTCTCCAGCAGACACATATTAAGGAAATCAAATTAGTAAACTTCATGGAAGGAAAGTTAGAAAGAACACTCTAGGAGAAAGGTTTGGCAGGCAAAATTAGTGAGGAAAATGGTAAAAATTAAATTTTTTTTCTGTTTAAAAATTACAGTAATAATAGGGTCTAATCTTTAGTGTTATTTAAAAGAGAGATTTAAAATAATGAATAAAAATGGCATGTATATCCAGTGGGAGATGATAGGTACTCACATTTTATAAAGCACTTGTGTTAATCAGGGTTGAATCTTGATTAATTTTAGACTCTTAAAATTTAAATGGAAGAACTCTCAGAGAGTAGAGAGAAATTCTTCATATCATTAGAGGAAAAATAAATGGAATAAGGGAAATGATAAGAAAGGAAGAAGAAAAAGCATAACAGGGCAGAACAAGTGAAAACACTAATGTGGGAGAAAGTGTAAAAAATAAATTCAGATCTATAACTAGTCATTATCACTGCAAATGGTATAAACCATGGTCAGAAAAGTTTTTCTGTAAAGAACCAAAAAATAAGTCTTTTAGGTTTTGTAGGCCAAGTGGTTTCTGTCACAATTACTCAACTTTGCCATTACAGCAAGAAAGCATTTGTGAACAATATGTAAATAAATCGTTGTTTTCCAATCAAACTTTGATTGTAAAAATAAGCAGTAGGTTAGACTTGCACAATGAGCCATGGTTTACTGACTCCTTGTTTAAATTTACCAATAAAAAAAAATACAGAGGTTAAAACTGGGAACGAAGCAAGGGTGTCTTCTCCTACCACTTCTTTTTAATATCCCACTGAAAGTCCTGGCTAGTGCAATGAGACAAAAAAAGGAAATAAAAGATATACAGGTGTGAAGGAAGAAATAAAACTGTTTTTGTTCACAGGTGACATGATTCGTTCCTTTTGTTCTCACTAGTATTCTGTGGTATGGACGTACCAGTTCGCTTAACCAATCACCTGTCAAAGAAAATTTGGGGGCCGGCCCAGTGGCGCACTGGACAGTGCGCCGCTTGGGAGCGCGGTGGCACTCCCGCCGAGGGTTCGGATCCTATGTGGTGACCGGTTCCTGCTCACTGGCTGAGCGCAGCATGGGCGCAACACCGAGGGTTGCGATCCCATTGCCGGTCAGTAAAAAAGACAAAAAGGAAAAAAAAAAAAAGAAAATTTGGGTTGTTTCCAATTTGGGCCATTACAAATTAAGTTATAATAAACAGTCCTGTGCAAGTTTTTGCATGGACATAAGTTTTTGTTTGTCTGGGATAAATTCCCAAGAGTGCAATTCTCAGGCAATATGGTAAATTAATATTAATTTTATAAGAATTTATAAGTTTGTGCCAAACTTTTTTGTGAATAGGCTGTACTATTTAACATTCCCACCAGGAGTCTATGAGAAATCCAGTTGCAATAATCATTGTGCAATAATCACTACAATCTAGTTCACTAAGATATCTATCACCTCACATAATTACCATCCTGTGTGTGTGTGTTGAGAACACTTATGATCTACGCTGTTTGCAAATTTCAATTACAGATGTTCCTTGACTTAAATACTGTAAGTCGAAAATACATTTAATACAACTAACCTAGTGCACATTATGGCTTAGCCTAGCCTATTAGCCAAAAGTTGGGCAAAATCAACCTACACAAGGCCTATTTTATAATAAAGTGTTGAATATTTCATGTAATTTTTCGAATACTGTGTAGAAAATGAAAAACAGGATGGTTGTATGGTACTCAATGTACACTTTCCACTGCGTGCACGTGGCTTTTGCAACATCGTAAAGCCAAAAATCATGTCGAACCAGTAAAGTCAAGGACCATCTGTATGCAGTATTGTTAACTGTGGCTGCAGTGTTTTACATCAGATCTCCAGAACTTATGCATCTTATAACTGAAACTTTTTACCATTTGACAAAATCTCCCGATTTTCCCCTCTCCCCCAGTGCCTGGCAACCACTGTATGACCCATCAATCCCACTTCTGGGTATATATCTAAAGGAAATAATATCACTCCCTGGAAGAGATATCTGCACTCCCATGTTCATTTTAGCATTTTTCACAAATAGCCAAGATATGGAAACAACCTAAATGTTTGTCAACAGATGAATGGATAAAGGAAATGTGGTAGATACAATGGAAAACAATGGAATATCATTTAGCCTGGAGGACATTTTACTAAGTGAAATAATCCAGGCAAAGAAAGACAAATACCACACGATCTCACTTATATGAGGACACTGCTTTCATGTTTCAGCTACCTCTACTACACCACCACACAACACAGCCACCCTTCTCGGCTTCTGTTCTAGATTGGAGTAGGGAGTGGGTTCTCTCTGGATAAGTGTTCCACCCTTGCCCAGCTTCCCCAAGTCCAGCTATTTTAGGCTCTCACACTGGAAATTAAATTGAGGTTATGTGGAACTGGGGTGCCCTCTTCTGTTTTCCAGAACTATAACTACTTTGCTTAATTTCATTCACTAAAAGGGAAAATGCTAATGGCACAAATGGGAACTCAGCTGATAGATCATTATTTCTCAGACAAGCATTAAACTCTATATTAAAACAAAAATCATTGAAATGGTAGCATTCTTTCAGCAGTGTGAGTGTCCATGAGGTTCTGATGTGTCACTGTCACCAATTAGGTAGGCAGTCCATCTAACATGAAGCTGTGTTACATGTTCCACAAACATAAGGAGGAGAGACTGGGATACCATTTCATCACAAGGAAGAGAAAAGTATTTAAGCAATATGCTTAGAGACAAATTTAAAGAATAAATCTTAAGATAATTTTCATGTGTCCAATAATATGCATTGACATGAAAGTGATAGAAAATTTATCAAAAAGCATGGAAATTTTAAACATAATACATCAAAAGAACATATTTGTTTACGGTTGATATTTCATTCATTATTATAAATTAATGTCCATAACTTTCATTATTAAGTAATCCCTTGTTTATCTACATTTATTTTGGTGAAAATAGACTGAATGACTTTGTGTGTCAATCTGTAAAGCTTTAAATTCACTGATTATTTGAATGCTTTGATTGGCATTATGCTTTTTAATCCTGAGAGACGAGCAGCTTTCACTGGTACTTCTAAACCTGGAATTTCAACACCTAATAGATGAAAGTAATGTTAAATTGATTATAAATCACATTAACTCTTTAATGATTTTGATGGTCAGTGAACTTTACCTTGGTGATACATCTGCTGAGAAATTAGAAAATTAAGAAATGCATGTGTCCAGTTTATTCATGTTTAATTAGAAAAGCCTTTCAAATGAACATCTTATGTAATTTATATTTTATGAAGAACCACTAGATTTAATTCTGTGGCTATATGTATATTCAGAGTTATGCTTCCTGGATGGTTGCATTTTCGTGTCCTGTTCCTGGAATATATTTACAATTTCAGAAAATTCCAGAATTTTTGGAATGTGCAAAAGCATCAGTGGGTAGCTTAGATTTGGAATACATTGTATTAGACATAACTGGAAAACTGAGGGGCTTCATACACTGGAAGATTAAAATCATTTCTGGAGGAGAGTTAGAAATTTGCCTTTTCTCACGATTATTCTGTTGAAAGTGACTATAAACAGCGCAGTGTCTCGAAAGGTGTGGAACAATAAGCCTCATCACGTTGCCAGGGATTTTACTTTACATCTTGAACATTTGTCGCTGGGTGTCCTCAAGGTCAAAGAGGCGCCCATCTCCTGAGGCAACAGGACGCTGCGATCCTGAAATTAAGGAACGTGCTGTTTTAGCATTCCTCTTGCTTGTGTGGTTTAAAGGGGGCCATATTTCTGCCTAGGTGTCATTAATGCACCACGGAGACAAGAGACCGACATAATCGCTGTAACAGAGCCCCAGGAGTGTGTGGCTAACTGGAGGCAGTGCACCGACGAGTGTCCTAAACCCTACTCGGGAGCTCCCGCCCCTGCTCTAAGATCTGCAGACCCCATGCCCCCTGGCCCATTCCTACTGACACCGCGGCTTCCCGTCAAGACATGGAACTTCAGAAAATCCCCAAACATATCCTGCAATTAGGTAAGGGTTTCATTCTAATCTAATCCAATTTTGTTCTGGCTTTCCCTCCCGTAGCAATGAATTACCATCTGTGGATTAGACAAAAGGATGCTCAAAAGCCCGTTTCCTTCTGAAGAGAACAGAGGCGAGGATACACAGGGGGCCACTGGGGACCGGGGGGGAGGCCACTGGGGACCAAGAAAGGACCGAGGTCAGGTTAGGGGTGCGGGGGTTGGCCCTAGAAGAGGAAATCTCTCGGAGCAGCGCCTCTGTTGTCAGAGGCTGCTACCTGCTGACACTCTGGTCTAAAATGGGGGACCAGTGGTTAGTTATTACGGGGAACCGACTGTGTTCCCGAAGGTCCTCAAGAAACTTCATTAGAAATACGTCCTATCCCAAACCAGGCCAAGCCGCGGGCCCTGAGCCCTCCCCCTCCGCCGCGCCGGGCCCAGGCGCATTTGGTGAGAGTCTGGCGGCCTCTACCGGAGCGCCTCTGCAGAGGGACGTTCTTCCAGCCCAGAGACGACATGTGGCGCTCGGCAGAGGTGAGAACGAGCGCGCCAGTGCGCCGGGGCGCCGGGGGTATCCGCA